GAGGACCATGATTTCTGAAGGCTCTTGTTTTCTGAAGAACTTAGTTGTCTTTGTTTTGAGAAACTGTCAATCTATTTTCTGAGAAATTTTTATTTTAGACCGACAGGAAGACATTCGAATTTTTATTGGGTAGAATAAATTTTCAAGAACGGTTGCTATTTTTGGAAATTGATCTATTAATATATCAGGCAGATTGTAAGGAGTTTTTCAATAGTACATCTGGTGAAAAAATAGATTCTTTCAATGGATTAAATGAGTTGTTTACGTAAGACAGAAATAATTAAATTGTTAAAAGGTTTTTTTGTAGTGTAATATGACTTTCACAATTTTCAAAAGTATGCTTTTGTGGAATTTTCAGAAGAGTTTTTGTCATCGGACAAATGAATGAAAAGAATTAGAATTTGTATTTCGAAAATTCATTAGAGAATCAGAATTTTTAAAGTAGAACATATTCTTGATTTTGATTGGTAAAGCTCTTTTTTTTCAAACACCTACCTTAAATAATATGTAAATATTATATGTAAATAATATTTTTCAATTTAATTAGTGATTATTTCACTCTTTTAATTAGTGATAAAAATTCAGTTTTAGAAATTTGCATCTATTGACATTTAATCGAATAAATAAACATAAAAGGAATCTTTATTCATAGGCATAAATAAAATAACTATTTAACTTTGAAATATATTTCAAAATAATTAAGGAAAGAAAGCAAAGATTGGAATATCATTAACTCGTATGTATTATATGTATGTTAATTATACTTTCTATCGAGATTTGCATAACAAGTCTAAAAAAAGCAAAATGCCGACGTTAAAAACATTATTAAAAATATTAAAATTGATATATCGCTAATTAACAGAAGATATAGTAAAAAAGTAAAAGTATTTTACACATTTTGAAAATATCAATTCCTTTTTAAAAAAAAAAAAACATGCATTGATTTTCCTTTAATTTTATACATTTTAATCGACTAATTAAATAGATTCTAATAATAGGTAATATATAGTTCGTAATTTAGTATTACATCATCAATACTTGAATTGATAAAGCAAGTAAAACCAATATTTTATCATTTAATATAATAATATTTAAATATGAACAATTAAAAAAATGCTAAATATGTTAATTTAAGAGTTTAAATTAACATATTTAGCATTTTTTTTTAATTGTTCACGTTGTTTCTGCGGAAAACCAATAACGACTTTCCCAAAAGTGACTTGCAAATTGTTGATGCTTAACTAATACTTCATTTTTGTTGTTATCTGAATCCCATTTAATACTCCAACTATCGAGAGAATATTTAACCTCCGATTCCCCAATTTGGAACATTCAGATGCCGATAAATCATAACTAATATCCAATATCCAAAGAGAATGCTTTAATTGCAATCCACGAACTTTTATTCCGTACGATCACAATTTCGAATCTATTCTGCTTTTAGACGGGAAAAGTTTCAAGGGTGGCTGCCAATTAAAACTTGGACGCACCAAAGTATTTACAATTAATTAAAATGCGGCATCCGGACAGCGCCGGATTTTATTACCGGACTACGCGAGTTTTAATACGTGTTCTTTTAATTGCCCGCGGTTTGTTGAGGATTCTGCAATGATGGCCGCCAGGGGAAATGGAAGGTTTTAAGTGAGTCGTTTTCCCGCCTGATTAGAGTCGAAGTCGAAGTGCTTCATTTTTCCTCTTCTGTCTCGTCTGCTCGCAGTTGGACCGAGTGCTGCATTCTGTGGTAGTTTTAATCGAGTTCTGCCGGATTGTTGATGAACGTCCTTTTCGCCAAGTTCTAAATCCGGACGCTGCGTTGTCGCAGGGGAAATTCAGTGATTTACACTTCGTTTCGCATCATTTGTATTGGATTATAAAGATTTAAAAGACGTTTTCCAGATAATAACTCTTATTAGGACACTTTTTCCAGACAGTAGTGTTCATTCTTAACTATCTCCACTTTCTAAAACACTATATTAAACTGTTTTATACCTCATGACACTAATATTAGTATATTAAAAATAAAAAAACTGCATTGTGCAATATAACTATGATATTGCATTAGAATTTAACTATGACATTTTTCTTGCTCGTCTGCTAGCAGTCGGACCGAGTCCCTGCATTCTGGGATAGTTTTAATCGAGTTCTGCCGGATTGTTGATGAACATCCTTTTCGAGAAGTTCTAAATTCGGACGCTGTGTTACCGCAGGGGAATGGAGTGATTTATGTTTCGTATCGCATCATTTGTATGGGATTATAAAGGCGTTTTCCAAATAATAACTCTTATTAAGACACTTTTCAACAGTAGTATTCATTCTTAACTATCTCCACTTTCTAAAACACTAGACTATATTGAACTGTTCTATACCTCATGACACTACTATTAGTATATTAAAAATAAAAATTGTATTGTGAAATGTAACTGTTATATTGCATAAGAATATAAGTAGGTTATTGCATTTAAAAATCACAAAATATTATTTAATGGAACTTAATTTACACGGACTTTTTGCCTGTTATAAGTTTTCCGGGTGTTCTCCCACACGATACGCAAATGTGACGTAGTTCTCGGTAAAACTCCTCTCGGTGGGCACTTCCCTCCTTCTTAAGCGATATAGAGTCATGTCAAACTTCTACCTACGGGTGCTTCATCGCAACAGAAGCTGCCCCCACCCCTTCTCTCCTTCCGTGAGCAGACTACTCATGGCTCTCCGTTCCGCACTGCAGGACACTGAGGATTAAACACAACAATAACAACAAATACAAACTGTGATGCAGCGTTGTCAAGTTATCAATATTATGTCTAGTTATCAATCAAATCACAATTCTTGTAAGAACGTATAAAAACTTATTCTTCTTTAAGAACGATAAGTTATTACGATGAATTTTTGTTCTGAAACGAAGAAAAGTATTCTGCAACAATAAATATTTGTATTTATTTTATCCATTGGACACTTTTACTTAATAAAAGAAAAATTTGTTCTATAAATAACTGAATAGCAGTCGACTTTCCTATTTTTCTTACCATACAGCTTGTTGCAAAAACGGGCTATGTATTTATATATTATGACTTGCTCTCTGTCGAAATAAATAGCAGTCATCTTCTCAGAAAATGTTTTACATTTCAGTAGGTCATGAATTTCTTTCATTATTTCCTCTGAGTTATTACGAAAGATGGAAATATTTATGAAAGAAACACTTCCACTTAGTGATAGATTTATATGTTGTTTTATAAACCAGCTCTGTCGTGCCATCTTTAACGGATTGTTTTAATTTTGATTTAAATATTTGTTTCTTCTGTACTCTTAAGTAATAGAACTAAATCAATATTACTTCATGTGCATGAGAGAAGCAGACAACAAAAATGTATTCATATTGTTACATTATTCTGCGTAAATACTTAATTATTTGTTTATTTGATCTTTATAATTATTTGTTTTCATTAATCCGTTGATAGACATCCAAATTTATGTTTTAAATTGATATACTTTGCAGAATGGCCAAAGTTCAAATACCTTGGGGGCGCCTTTGCAATGATTACATCAAAATACGAGGAGTCTCGATATCGAGTAAGGAAACGTGTATGTTCTCAAATGACAATCACGCTGATTGATGGGAGTTTTCTCTGGTTTACATGGCACAACAGTAAATACGGAGCAGGTATCCAAATCTTAATGGAAGCCCTTCACCAAACGTTGGTATATATATATATATATATATTGGGGGGTATATATAAATGAGACATTTGGACAATTAATGCACTAGAGGATATTAAAAGAAAATTATAAGACATGTAATTAAGTAGCAATGACATTTTTAATTCGTTCAGTTTTAGTTCAAAGTTAAAAAAAGTTATTATGAAATTCGTATTGTATAATTTCGTTTTTTTTAAACAATCACACTGATGTTGTTTCTTATCTCATTTCGTCGACAGCAACATCTAGTCCAAGTCCAACAACCCGTCTGGTGTCATGGAAAGAGGGAAAAGGAAGGGGCAGCTTTTGTTGTGATGGAGTAACTACTGGTAGAAGTCTTGCCTTGGCTCCGAGTTGCTGAAGAAAAGAGGGCAATGCCTTCCGGTAGAACTTGTAAAGGAAACTACTCGTATTTGCATTTCGTATAGGGGAAAATCCAAAAACTCCCACCAGGTAGTCCAACTCACGAGGCAAGAACATTGAAAACGTCCTCAAGTCTCCTGGTTTTTTGAAACCGTGTCTACAACAAAGTCGCGAGCGGATGGAACCTTAGCTTTAATGCTCCCACCGCCGCACGTTGTCACTGAGCCACGGGCATTAAATTAGAAAAATAGGCATCGTCGGGCATCAAATTAGATAAATATTCTTAACAGACTAAATATTTTATTCATTAAAATATCCTTTATCAATTATTTTAAACATTTTTATAAAGAGAAGGAATTATATAAGAAAATGTCAAAAAATATATGCTATCATCTAAACGTTTAAAAGTATCCCAGATAAATTCACTTGGAAATAGCACATTCAACCTTTAATTAAAGAAAAAGTCTCAAATATATAATCTTTTATAACCAGAATACAACAATACATAACAAGCTACAACACCACAACAAATCTCGTTCAGTCACTCTCCCATTGTGGGCAGTGCATATCCTTTATTCTTGACCAATAGGAGAAGTCTGTCATCACCATGATTTATCATTCTCTGACTGCGAAATTGTTGAGTACATCTAAGAGCATTGAAGGTATGATAACGTTACGATAGTGATGAATATATCCAAGTAATTAATTAATTTAACGCCCCAGTTATTCCAGCGCTTTCCAGTGCATTGTATCCGCATTCTCATTTTTTGTATTAGAAGAGATATATTGTTATAGAAGCCAAATATGCATACTTCCCGTTAGAATTAAGACTATTCGATTAACAATGAATGTTTAAAAGGGATTAGAGATATACAGAATTTATATTTTTGGAAAATGTAAGATATTTACAACTGATTTTAAAAATCAGAAGAACATTGGCCAAAGGCCATACAATGCTGTATATACCGGTTCTCATTCTATCACCGAAGTCAATCACCATCAGGGGTGGTCAGCACTTGGGAGGGTGACCCCTGGGAACACCGAGTAGCGTTGGCATTCAAAATTTTGGGGCCTGATGACCGAGTGACTAGCGCTCTGGCCCTCGATGCCACAGGCTTCAGGTTGGAGTCACGGCAGAGTCATGTATGCTTGTAGTGATTCTGAATCCACTTTAAACCGTAGGTACCGCTCTAATATGACTGTAACCGGATGGGCTTAGTTTTGACAACCCTACCCGGTAAAAAATACTTCTCCTGTCTCGAAATCTGCCAATAGGGAGACGGCCATGGCCTACCATGGAGCTGCTGCGTCAATGAAGAAGAAGAAAAGAACATTGAGTGAGAAATATTAATAAATTTTCCATTATGTGTTGTTAAAATTTGGTTTGGTTTGCCGTTCTATTGTCCTTTTGTGCACAGTTTGGGTTAATTAAATCGGGACCTACAGTTTAACGTCGATTCCCAACAACTAACAAAAACTTCCATGCCACTGCCAGGATTCAAACCTGAAAGCCGGTGGTACCAACAGCCAGAGAGTCATTAGTTACATTACCATTATGGCAATTTAAAAACAAAATTTATGAATAGACGCTAGTCGTTCAAACACATTTGTAAGAAATTTTTTTCAAAGCAATAAAAAAAATAACCACAACTTAACCACATATACATACATACATAAACTAAGCACGTATTACAATCTAAACTATTAAAACTACTCCATCTAAATTCGCAGGGTAATAACACTTAGTCAGATGAAAATGCAGCGTGCGTAATCTTTCATAACCAGAACAGAAATGTACATGACCCGCTGCTACACGATAACAAATCTCTTTCGGCCACTCTCCCACTGTGGGCAGGAAGCATCCTTTATTCTTTACCCAATAGAGAAGTCGTCGTCACCACGATTTATCACGCGCGTTAGCTGCAAGAGAGTCGAACTCAAACAGGAACATTGAAGGTATGATTAATTCAGTCTTCTTCGTTACCATAGTGATAAATGCATCTTCGTTTCATTAATTTAATACGCGAGTTATTCCTGCTCCTTCTGATGCATTGTACCCCTCAAAGCACGAAGCTACCCTTATTTATATCACGGGGAGATGCATTGTTATGAGATACCGGAATTACACACTTCCTGATAGAATTCGACATTAGCATTCTATTAATAATGGATGCTTGGTGGATTACAGAGGTTTAGATGGGCATTCACCAGTAGAAGGCCGATTTTGACTTAGGCTTTGATACCAAAAAAAAAGAAAGCCAGGATTTTATTTGAGTTTTAGCACATAAAAATGCAAGAGCTGTTTCCTTATCCACGTATTGTCTAGTCAAACCGGATATCAGGTCTAAGAATAATTAATAATGTCTAGAGTAAAATACAGCATTATGAAAGAAGAAAATTTTGTTTGAATCCTTTAACAGAAAGTAAAGTTATCAAGGTTTTCTTTTGAAATTTAAAAGGTATTTGATTCATACACGACTGCATAACTTACTTGAAAATGTCATGATTAACAGTAGTTAAATTCAAAGCTGAACGAATTATTAATTGTTTTTAATTATTTAAAATTAATTAATCCTATGGTATCAAAATAAAATGGTTTTGATGATTTTGACAGTCGTTGATTTTATTAATTTGTTTTGTGTTGTAGGCATTTGAAAGAATAATAAATGACTCATTATTTAAAAAAAATTTTAACATTTAATTAAGAGTGGAAATTTTATTTAATGAATAAGTAGAAATGGCAGAGATACAATAAAAAAAATTATATTTAATAAACTTTAATTCCAATAAAAATAATAATTTTTTTTTAATGCCTCTTTGCTAAATACTCCAGAATATCGTTTTTATTATGACGTATAATTAATCTTTAAGGTTTTGGTGATAGACGGACAGCTATTAAATTCTATAAATTAATTAAAAGTAACAAGCTTTTTCTTCAGGTTAATATTATTTTTAATTACATAAAATTTGATTATGTAGTTTGTTTCAAAAATATTAGTTGAAAATTTTAAAATGCACTGAAAATATAAAAATATAATGTATTTTATTATATGTTTTTCAAAGTAGTAATTTGTTAAAACTAAAATATAGTATATTCTTTAAAAATTCTTTATATAAGAAATGTTAAATTCCACTACTTATATCTCTGTCTATGTATTCGTTAATTAAAATTTGTACTTTTATTAATTTGTTAACTAATTTTTAACATCATTAAAAACTGATTTTATATAAAATATAAAGGAAAAGATATTTACTTCAAATTTTGAAAATCTGATTATTTTTATTGAAATACATTGAATTAGATTATTATTTTTCTAATTATTCTAAAACATTTGTCATAGAATGGAATAGCCTAAAATAAAAATGATTTCATTTGAAATTATGGCATTCTATATTATAATTCGACATGTACTTAGCAAAAACAATGAAAACAAGAATGTCTTTTAAAACTAAATGAAAATACCTTTCAGAATATCTTTGAGAATGTCTTTAAAAATAATTAATCCGCATAAATTATTGGCATTAAAGGGATTTTAGACTACGAAATAATACTAAATTACAATTAATTGCAAACAAATAAATATGGAAATGACAATAATTACAATTAATTAAATGATTGATCATCATTATCATCGCAACAGCGCATTAGCGCAACAGCCCCATTGTGGATGGATGCCATCTGCCTACCAGCAGTCGAAATTAAATGATTGATAAATTTAATTAATGTTAAAATGAAAATAATCAAAAAATTTTAATGAATCAAGTGAACTTTTATTAAAGTATAAAAATAAAATAAAATTTAATTAATTATTTAATTAATGTTAAAATTAAAATAATAAAAAATTTTAATAAAGTGAACTTTTATTAATTTATTTGAGTGTAAAACACTTAAAATAACGAAGTTAATGTTATATCAACGTAAGAAAATAGTAAAATTTTTGAAATACGTTTTATGGCATTATTAAATGTGTTTTATAAGAAAGAATGCATTTTATCTTTTAATACAATATACTTAGTAACAGAATGTAATATTGATTATCTTTTATTTTCTCACGAAAGAATTCCGAATAGCCCCATACTCCTTATACTGAATTCTTTCCACTTCAAACTCTTACCTAATACTAGGTATAGAAGTCATTCCATTATTCGAAATTACTCTGCAAACCCGTTTATGGTTACCTGAAGAAGTACAAAAACTTTTTTTTTTTCTTACGTTCATGGAATAAGATTGTCGCCCATTGGAAATAATAAGAGGACAGTTGCCCCGGACATAAGCTATCTTCATCCTTGGAGATAAGTACAAATAACAATGCAGAAACTGTCAATAAACTGTCCTTTTGTTGTCGAAAATAGGGAAAGACTAGGGAAGAGTAGGGTAAAGGTAGGATTGGTCAGAGAGGTGACATTATAGGATGAATCTTTCAATGTTCTTCTGCTGTTGTCTCCTTAAATTTTTTTTGCTTCTACAATAATATTTTTTCTAAGTTCTTTTCTAAATGGTTGGTAGAGAGAAAGACATAGCCTATGAAAATGGAGTCCCCAGAACCTAAGACTCACTATACCCCTAGAGGGCCATGGATTCTGAAGGCTCTTGTTTTCTGAAGAACTAGTTGTCCTCATTCTGAGAAACTGCCCATCTACTGCTCTGAGAAAGTTTTATTTTAGACAGAGAGGAAGACATTCGAATTTTTTGGATGGAATATAATTTTGAGAACGGTTGCTGTTTTTGAAAATATGCCTAGTAATTTATCAGGCAGATTTTAAGGAGATTTTCAATAAAAAAAATGCGGTATAGAAAAGAGATTCTTTCAATGAGTTGTTTTCGTAAGACGGAAAAATTGAATTATTTGAAAAATTTATGTAGTGTTATATGTCTTTCAATTTTTCAAAAGTATACTTTCGTGGAATTTTCAGAAGAGTTTTTGTCATCGGACAAATAATTGAAAAGAATTACTATTTATGTGTCGAAAATTCTTTAGAGAATCAGAATTTTTAAGTAGAACATGTTCTTGATTTTGATCGGGAAACTTTTTCTTTTTTTTTTTTTTCAAACATCTCTTTCTTTTTATCATATGTAAATAATGTGTAAATATCATATGCAAATAATATTTTTCAATTTAATTAGTGTGTTTATCTCTCATGATGAAAATTCAGTTTTTAAAAATTTGCATCTATTGACATTTAATAATAGAATAAATAAACATAAAACTAATCTTTATACATCGGCATAAAATAAAAATAAATATTTAACTTTGCAATACATTTCAAAATAATTTAGGAAAGAAAACATAAAATGGAATATCATTAATCTATGTATTATATGTATGTTAATTATACTTTTATAGAGATTTTCTTAACACGGCTAATAGAAAAAAGCAAAATGAAGACGTTAATAGTATTAATAAAAATTATCAAATTGATGTATCGCTAATTAGAAGAAAATATAGAAAATAGTATTTTAAACATTTTGGAAATAACAATTCATTTTTTTAAAAGACACATTGATTTTCCTTGAATTTTTATGCATTTTAATAGACTAATAAAATAGATTAGAATAATAGGAAATCTATAGATTGTAGTTTCTTATTGCGTCATGAGCATCTGGACGACAAAATAAATAAAACCAATATGTCTTTTAATCGAATGATATTTAAATATGAATAATTTTTAAACAGTTAAAAGTTGATAATTTAAACACTTATCACCGAAAATCCAATAACGACTTTCCCAAAGTGGTTTTTAAATAGGTATTGATTAATTATGACTTCATTTTGTTGTTGTCTGAATCCCATTTATACTCAGCTATCGAAGGAATATTTAACCTCTAATTCAACAATTTGGAATATTCAGATGCCGATAAATCATAACTAATATCCAATACCCAAAGAGCAATCCACGAACTCTTGTTCGGTACGATCTGAAAAAAAGTTTTGAATCTATTCTGATTTTAGAGAGGTAAAAGCCAGAAAAGTTTCAATGTCGGTAGCCAATTAAAACTTCGACCCACCAAAGTATTTGCATTTAATTAAAATGGAGCAGAAGTGCCGGA